CCTTCCAGAAAACAGTTTTGTCTCCAATTCCAACCACTCTTTTGAATAAATTTGAAAAAGCAATCCCACGATCCTCCAATTCATCCCCAATTCTAGATATGCTAAGCCAAGCCCCTTTTATCAAGCATTTTGCAATCGGTTTTCCATCAACGAGATTAATATTATGAGTCGACTTAATACAAGAAGACCAAAAAGAATTTTCACCACTTTTAAGATGCCACCACCATTTGGCAAGCAAAGCCAAATTAGTGGATTCAAGACTACCCACACCAAGACCACCTTTACTTTTAGGTTTAGTGGCCACTTCCCAAGTCACCCAATTAATCTTTCTCTTGCAATCATCACCACCCCCAAAGAAACCTCTGCCTTATACTTTCAAGTAAGTTAATTAATTTACGAGGAACTCTAAATAAGGAAAAAATATAAAGGAAGGTTGTTAAGAACCGAATTAATGAGAGTGAGGCGCCCACCAAAAGAAAAAGGCTTTGCTTTCCATCTTGATAACTTAGCATAAAATTTATCCACCATCGGATTCCAATGTTTAACAAGTTTCATATTCCCACCCACCAGAAGACCAAGGTACGTTAAAGGGAAATAAGAGGGTTCACAATTTAAGATGCTGGCAAAGCGAATAACTTCCATATCATTGACACCAACCCCATAAACCTTGCTTTTGTGCAAATTCACCTTCAAACCCGAAGCGAGATAGAAACAACGAAGTAATCTATTAAGATTCACAAAATTTATTTCCAACCATTCACCAATAAACGTGACATCGTCCGCATACATGAGATGGGATAAATGCATACCATTGTGAGGAAGGGAGAGACCATGGAAATAATGGAGACCACAAGCATTTTTTAAAGCAACGTGAAGGCCTTCCATTGCAATAATAAAGAGAAAAGGTGATAACGGACCACCTTGCCTAACACCCCGTCTAAAATCGAACTCTTTCGTAGGAGCACCGTTGACTAAGATACACGCCTTACTCGAAGTTAAACAACCTTTGATCCATCTTCTCCATTTCCACCTGAAATCCATTTGATCCATGACCGAGTCAAGAAATTCTCAACTTAAGGAATCAAAGGCTTTGTCAAAGTCAACTTTGAAAAATAAAGCCTTTTTATTTGCAAGTAATCGTTTAATTTGATTAGATTCCAATCGAAATTATACATCTTTTATATATATATATATATATATATATATATATATATATATATATATATATATATATATATATATATATATATATATACTAGTTGTGTACCCGCGCAATGCAGCGGGACACAAATTATATTTTAAACAATTAAGTCAATAAGATTTTTGATTAATTTGGTTGGTATGATATTAATGGGTTGAAAGATTCGTTTTAATAATTTTGCATACACATATTTTTGTATTTGGTGTCTCGATAAGTCGATATAAATGTTATATAAAACCATCTTGACTATGTTGTAAAAAATAATCATCTTACACTCTGTGAAAGTGAAAAATATGGGATTATATGTTATTATTTTGGAGGGGGCATGTTAATGTAAACTTTGTATTTTTCATGTAATGTTTTTACCACCAAATTTTATTTGGTGGAACCTAGTTATATCCATGTATTTATCAAAATTTATATGTAAACAAAGTAATTCTTGTGGAATGATAAGTTTTTAATTTTAGAGTAAATTACTGAAATCGTCCCTATGGTTTGGTCAAAATTACATGTTTGGTTCCTAACTATTTTTTGCACTCGAATCGTCCTTATGTTTTTGATTTTGTTGCGTTTTTCGTTCATCTTGTTTGGTCAAAATTACATGTTTGCTGCCTAACATTATGTATGTAAGGAACGAAAAAGGCAACAAAATCAAACCACATGGGCGATCCGAGTGCAAAAAAAGTTAGGAACCAAACGTGAAATTTTGACCAAACCATAGGGACGATTTGAGTAATTTACTCTTAATTTTAACTCGTTTGAGTTAAAACTTCCGAACTTACTACAACTTGTAATTGGCTAATTTGATTTCTTTATGAGTCATCCACCAGTCCATATATTTATTTAATCTTTAGTAATATAACTCAATGCTTGTAATTGTTTTACCATGCTTTACCTGTAGAAATAAGAATTTTTTTTGTTGTTTTTCAAATAACTGCAACCTTTCTCACTTTTTATGTTGTAAAACAATCATTTAACAATCATTTACAAAAATGAAATTCAGTTTAAAAAAATCCTCATATCAATGAATATGACAAATTCCTTTTCCTTTTCATTTTCCACTGTAAATAAATCATTTTTATCTACCTTTAATTGACTGCAACATTTCTTTCTCTTTTTCATTTACTGCTGTAAAGCAATCCTCATGAATGAATATGTCAAACTCCTAAACTCATATAGAATCAAAACTTAAGCTTTTATGAGAACTTAGAAGTATGTCGATGCAAATTCAAGAAGAGAGTTTAACGCAAAAAATAACGATGCACTTTTTTTTATTGAGCAATTAACTATCCACTTCAATATTTTTACAATATTGATTAAGGCGTTATACTTTTAACATGCCTTTCACTTTCACATTGGGTTACATAAACTTAGCCAGCAGCTCCTACAATAGTACCCACCCTATTTTTAATTGCAAACTGAAGCTCCTCCACTATATAAACAACATTCCTTCAGGCCCATCGCTTCCCCGTAGTATGAAAAATCTATAAAATATATATACATGTGACAAAAACAATGTACATACGCTAAAAACTTTGTGAATAATTAGGCAATAATAAAAAAATATTACCTAAGCCTTAATGATGTTACTTACCTCAACCGGCTATGTTATATGCTTTACAGTCCATATTTTAAACGACCCATATTAAATTTCAGGTCTCCACTCTCCAATGACCATAGAACCAATATTAGAAAGAAGGAAGAAATAAACAGGGGAATGGGGCATAAACCAAAACTAGGTTAAGGCATAATCTCGTAATCGTTGGTAGAGACCTAGGTTGAGGTCTTCATCGGGGGTCTGCTAACAACTGCAACAAAATATGAAAGAAGATAACCAGAAAAACTTTTGAGTGGTAGGTGTTCAACTGGTGTATATACATAACTATTCCTTTAACCATCATGAGAAGATGTATTTTTAACTATCATGATAAACTAATCATACCATTAATTGGAAAACTAATCGTTGAACTGAAGCACTATATTTTTATATCTTGATGATGCTCTTAGCTTCCTTTGAACCCCTTCAAGCCAAACACCTATCTCACCTGGTGAAAGTCCTCCATAACTTCCACTTCTTAACTTTATCTTTCACGAAAAAAAATCATTACATGACAAATTACATTACTATAAACCAAAAGACCATAAAACTAAAAATCCAACATGAAAAAATCAACATTTTCACTAACATGTGCACTATACGCGGTTCCTAACAAGGACTTCTAATATTAGATATTACATGTCTAAAATGCAAACAAAGAGAAATGGAAAACAATCGACCAACATTTCCACTATACCCGATCCCTAAATTTAGTAAATTAATCAAAAAGAAAAGGAAAAATAAAACATAAACTAAACAAAATACCAGGTAGTGTAATGGTTACCCTGAGTTTATAAGGTTTGTTGGACAAACTATACACACATAAATCAAAAAATTGTCAAATAAGTCGTCATTCTGCAATCATAAAAAAAACATGAACAACAAAACAAAGATCAAGATACAGGGTATTAAAAAAACCTTTCCAGGCATGTCAAAAGGAAATTATATGGTTAAGATATCTTAAACAGAGAAGTGAAATACTTTTAACCAGGAATTGCCCCAACATAGAGCAGGGAGATGAACTCGTAGTTGGTCACGGGATCGTAGAAACTGTAGAAAGCGATCATGCGCTAGAAATAGAGAGATAGACGAAGAAATATATGAGTGATTACAATATATCAATAATCAGGCAATACCGATGACGGAGCATGGCGGCAGAAGTGTTAAATGGATTTAGATGTTTTGAATTTTACAGAAAGAGACGTGGATGAGGGATTTAGGCTTTTTGGTGAAGAACATAATATGTATAAGTATGTTTACCCTAAATGTGAGGAAAATTAGGAGTGGTCGAGATTAAGGGAATAAAGATGGAAAGTACATTAATTTAAGGGAAGTGATTCGTACACAACAGTTTTTTGCCATACACAACAATTCATTATTTATAGAGTTGTACAGTACAATATTTTAAAGCATCAATTGTTGTGTATGGAGAAAATTTGTTGTGTACAAATCATCTTCCTTAATTTAATAGAATTGTCGTTTTAAAAAGAAGTATGTTTTAGCTAGTTGTACATCGTGTTTATATATTTGTACCTTTTAATTTTACAAGAAAGAGGCAATATATTTAATAATATAGTCAAGATATATATATATATATATATATATATATATATATATATATATATATATATATATAAACTTAAGAAAAAAAATTGTAAAAATACATATAAATACGTAAAAAATACGTTTATACATTATATACAAATTTTGATGAAATCTGCAGAAAAGTTTTATTATTTTGGGAAAATTAACGATTTGGTCTCATGATCTGCTGAACATGTCAAAAATGGTTAAAGTGAATAAATTAACCGGTCTTTTGAGCTTTTCCATTCAAAATATTAAATAATCGAGTCTAGTCTGTTTAAAAAAAAATTAATACTTATTAAAAGTTCAAAATAATAAAAGTTTAATGTACAAAAGCTCAAATAAAAACTAAAGGTTTACACCTAGTAGCTATTTTTGCCATAAATAATATGTTTAGACTTGACTTTTGCATCAACTTGTATTCTTGTAACATGTGCATTTCCAAAAATAACAATCACATATTCTTGACATAAATATTCACCGATTTATATATGAATGTTATAATTTATATTATTATATATGGATGTTGTAATGGAAAATGTAAATATAACTCTAAGCCTCGTTGAAATTGTTTTTGTTCCCTAAAACATCGAATGTCGTGTGTTAGTTGAAAAAGCAGTTGTAAAAACGTGCTCGCATGGAAGGAGTGTGTGATTGTAAAGTAGCAAATGAACTCAGTGTGCATCCACACGCTGTGACTTCCTACGCGGCAATTAAAACTAATATTTGTGATAGATGTTTCTTGTAGGCAGGTGTTGGCCACGCTCCTCCCTACCCTCTATAATAACTATTCTATTCCCCGCCACACGCCTCCCTTTCTCCTCGACGGCGCGTCACGGTCGACCTCTCCATTATTTTCCAAGGTATGTTCGTCTTCTGCCGTCGTTCTTAGATCGGTGGAGTTACGAGGTTCTTCGTGTGTTTAATCTGTATTTCATCGCCTACGATTCTTCAGCTGCGGTTGTGTTTGTGAGTTTTTAATCTGGTTTGAACGATTTATGATTGTTTACTATCAGATTCTATGTGTGGATTTTGTAAGTTGAATTGAATTTGGATATGTAGTTTTGGTTTTCAATATGTGTAACCTGAAATCTAGGGTTTATGTTTGCTTTTTTATGTGTAATTACGATTTGACTTAATCGATTATTTATTTGTGTGTCTTAGTTCTTTGATCGGTTGACATACGATTATTCATGTAGTATTGTGTTCATCAGTTTTTGATTTGGTTTTTGAAGACTTTTATACATCGTTTTACTATCGGATTCTGAGTTTGGATTATTAGATTGAATTCGGACATCTAAGTTAGGTTTTCGATTATGTTTGTGTTTAAGATATGTAATTTTGATTGGAATTTAATCAATTAAAACGATTACTCCTGTGATAATGAATTGGATTAGCTACTTGCTGTGATTTTTTTCTTCATTGGGAAAAATAACTATGAATTCGTTTGTTCTTTGTTCTCAAGATGATCTGAGATTTGAAACTAAATTTGAAGATTACCAGTTATGTCCCTGGAAAATTCATATTTGGACCTTTTCTAATTGATTCATTCATTCCTTTTCTTCTGGTATTCATCTTCTTGCAAATATTAAATTTTCATTCACTGGTTTTACTCTCCAATCACAAGCCAACACACTGGTCTGTTTCGATGAAATATGAATAATGCATTGTTCTCATGTTACAAGATTTTTGTTCATAGTTCTTATTTTTCTTGAAGATTTCCTAAATTCTTTTCTTCATCTCTGTTTTCTGTTTATAACACAGGAATTCTGTTGTTACCAAATTAAAAACAACAATCTGAACATATATTTTGAAGATTCAGTGTGTATACATCTAGCAATATCACAATGGGAGCAGAAAAATCACCTACTTGGTACATGAACTCAATATTCACTTTTGATTTCTTCATCTCTTAACCTAAAAATATGAAAAATAATAATTATAAATTTCTTTTTTTTATTTATTAGCTTGCACACTACAAAGAAAAATCCAGGTAAAGTACCCAAAAGAATTCACAAGGCTGAAAGGGAGAAAATGAAGCGTGAACATTTAAATGAACTCTTTCTTGAATTAGCTGGAGCACTTGGTAATTTTTTCACAACTCTTATCAATTTATATCTTTTTAACATCTTTTTTATTGTTTAATTTATTTTTTTTATTATTACCTTACAGAACTCACAGAGCAAAACAGTGGTAAAGCGTGTATATTGAGTGAAACTACTCGTGTTGTGAAGGACATGATTGATCAGATCAAGACCCTCAAAAAGGAAAATGCAACTTTACTCTCTGAATCACAATATGTAAGGCTTATTTTATTATTATTATATTTTTTAATACGAAAATATATATTATTTTTTTTTTATTCATTTTTTTGGGGGTTTTGGTGGGCAGGTGATGGTGGAAAGGAATGAACTTGAAGACGAGGCTTGTGGTCTACAGAAGCAGATCAGTGAACTAAAAAACATCATAAAAGAAAGAAGTCAAACAGTCAATGTCCAAACAAATCTTGACCTAAATGCCCCTGCGATAGAAATAGAATCCCATGAACCACAACAATATTTAAATCCTGTTTTTGTTATCCCTGCTTGTCACCCACAACTAGATCCGGGTTTGGTTATTGACAATAATGCCCCTGTGTCAAATGTTAGTAAACCATACCCTAGGTATCCTACTCCATCCGATTCTTGGCCTTTACAGCTTCTTGAAAAGCCATCTCGAGTGTAAAATTTGTATAACTTGTTGTAGCTCATTTTAGTTTGTAATATGTTGTGTGTGTGTGTGTTGTCTTTTGAAGAAATGGCAAATTGTTGTGTTAGTGTTGATATAACCACATTGACTTGATAATAGTCACCCAGGGGTTACATTGAAGAACCCAAGTATCATTGGAAATGAGAGCATAATACTATGTTTTTTAAAATGTTAAGAGAGCTTTATTCATGCCATTTTGAAACTAGCAGATTCACAACATTTATTTTTCTGTTTTGTCTTCTAGAAATGCTTGTTACTTTACTTTTGTATGATTACATAAAATCATGTATTGGTCTAGTGGTAAAGACCTAACCCGTGGTTTCGATTCACGTTTGTTTGCGCCCGTTGTTTAGCTTTTGTTTGGGCTCCTCAGCAAGTGAAGCCAGGAATGGAGAAAAAAAAAAAAAAAGAGTTAAATGCAAAACTTGACCGAAAATAAGAAAAAAAAAAAAGGATTTTTGGAAATTTGGTTAAAGGTTGACAAACTGAAATGGTGTCGGCAGGTCTTGGGCATGCCTTTGTTATGTCCCACGTGGCTGCTCACATGGCTGTGGAAGGAAAAAGAGGAAATGGACCGCATCGGACCATGTTGTCAAATGGGCCTAATTTTTTTTACACACATATATATAGGTTTAATGTAATGTTATTGTACAAAATTCAAAACGCTGAAAAATAAAACACAAAATCACACATTTAATGCAGAGTTTTTTTTTCTTTTAAAGTATCGATTAAAGGTCTTCGACTTTAAATCTTCTTTTATGTTTACATAAGTATTTTTAAATCCTCTTTATGTTTACATAAGTATTAATGACGTAACAATTATCGTGGTATTAGTGAATTAATTTAGCTTATATATAAAAGAAATTGTATTTAAGGGCTATTTTTACTCTTTGCAAAGGTTCTTCAAAATCAATGGACCCGCCCTTTGCCTTTAGAAGGAAATAAGGTGATTGGTTAAGATGATTAATATAGAAAAGAATGTTATTTCGATGTCGATTTGGAGAGGAAACAAAGAAAGAAAGAAAAGGAAGATGGAAAAAGTGATGAGGAAGGAGGGAAGACCACTATGGCATTTCCACTGGTGTGGTGACACCCGTACATATTAAAAAACTAGGTATGAGACCCGTGTATTACACGGGTTGATTTAAAAAAAATTAAACATTAAATTAAAGTGTAAACAGAAACTATTTTTTAATGTACAACTTTTAAAATAAGAAAGAAAGAAAACGTATTTATTGCAATTTAATATCATATATATGATATTTAATACTTTACATATATAAGTATATGACTTTAATTTTAAAAATTGAAACAAATTAAAAATTGACAAGTGGATAATATTTATTTCAAAATTACCACAAAATGACAAGTGTCAAAATATATGAGAGATTGACATGTGGCAAAAAAACCTTCGTTTATTAAAAAGAATAGTTATCCAATAACCATTATGATGTTCACAGAAAATAACTAAAAAATGTAAAATTCAAACGATATATTAATGGATCGCATAAAGAGCTACACTAGCATAGTTATGGATACGAAAACAAATATTAATGAATGAGCTATAAGTTTAGCCTAGAAATTCAAACAATTATATAATTTAAGAAAAAAAAAAGGTCAATACATATCGAACGGAAGAAATTGTATTTTACTTTTTAAATAATCAATAATATTTATTAAATATCGAAATTTATATAAGGGATAATGACTTGAAAGGGTAACAAACTTTCGACTTTGTTCATATTTAGTCATTAAACTTTTTTTCGTTATCTATTTGTCATTGAACTATTGAAACTGTTCACATTTTACCCTTATGACCAGTTGTTACCGGTCATAAGGGTAAAATGTGAACAGTTTCAATAGTTCAGTGGCAAATAGATAATGAAAAAAAGTTTAGTGACTAAATGTGAACAAAATCAAAAGTTCGTTTCCCTCTAGAAAAGTTCAATGACTAAATGTAAACAAACTTCCTATTGTATTATGTTTTAGCAAATTATTTATTTTTGTTAAATTCTAGCAACATTTGTTGATGAAGAAATCTATGAAATAAAAAAAAAAAACCCCGAAAATATATTAAAAAAAACGAAAAACCGAAACCGAAATAAAAAACCAATGGTTTGGCATTTTCCAAAATAAAAAATCAAAATTTTCAATCTGATTTTGGTTTTACAAAAAAATGAACCATTCTCACTGATGTGAATTATGACAATTGGTTTGGAGATGCATTCGACTATGAAAGGTGTTTACAAAAAAGGATCTAAATCTAAATCTACATAATTAACACACACTAACACTCTCAATGTTACATCTCTCAAGCACACCTCTACATGTGGTATGAACCCACCTTATATAGAGGTGTTTACATGTCTCTCTCTATCTCTCATGTCACAAGGGGGAGTTTTGGATAGAAAAATTCCGAATTGAGCGCTTTCTCAATCCCTTTTTGGTTTTATAATCATTTTTCGATTATAAAAAGGGGGAGAGATTTAGATATGGAAATCCGAAAGTTGAATTTTTGTAAAACCAAAATTAGATTGGAAAATTGTGATTTTTTATTTTGGAAAATACCAAACCATTGGTTTTTTATTTCGGTTTCGGTTTTTCGTTTTTTTAATATATTTTTCGGGGTTCTGTTTTTTTCTTATTTCATAAATTTCTTCATCAACAAATGTTGCTACAATTTAACAAAAATAAATAATTTGCTAAAACATAATACAGGAGGAAGTTTGTTCGCATTTAGTCATTGAACTTTTTTAAAGGGAAACGAACTTTCGATTTTGTTCACATTTAGTCACTAAACTTTTTTTCGTTATCTATTTGCCACCGAACTATTGAAACTGTTCACATTTTACCCTTATGACCGGTAACAACCGGTCATAAGGGTAAAATGTGAACAGTTTCAATAGTTCGGTGGCAAATAGATAACGAAAAAAAGTTTAGTGACTAAATGTGAACAAAGTCGAAAGTTTGTTACCCTTTCAAGTCATTATCCCTTTATCTAATTGTTATAAGTATAAAAAAGTAAAAAAGTATATATTTTTTAACATTATCTTGTACGTTAAAATAAGTATTTCTCATTTCAATTAATAATGATGTAAGCATAATTGAAAATCTGGAATACGAATGCTGACTACCCCATCAGCGCCTCATAGGGTTGTGACAAACACTCGTTTCCTCTCTACACCTGTCCCTCCACCGAGCCCCCTCACTCGTATAAACCCTAATCAATTCACCACCATTCTTTCAATCTTCATCTTCTTCGACCCATTTATCAATTACTTTGATTCGTGATGGGCAAATCCGGAGCTGCAGCCGGAGATTTATTACTACTCATCGCTCAAAATTTTGATGTTCTTGCCGGGTACTCTGTACTCTCTCTCTATTCAAATTTCATATCGTTGTTCATAATTAATTATTGATTTGGAGAAACTGAGATATCCATTAGATTTTATTTTCGATTCCCAAATGGTTTGTTTATTCATGGCTAATTTGGTGTAAATGAAATTGAATTTTGCAGGCCCGTTGTTAGTTTGGCATATCCTCTGTAAGTCCCTAGCTCCACTTTCCATCGGTTTCTGTTGAATTACTGCAATCTTCTTCTGTTACTTTACTGTGTTTTGTGCATGATTAATGGGAACCGAATTCCGATTTGCGTATTTTGTTCCAAAAATGATAACATGATGTCGATTTCACAATCTAATGCTGCTATATATGCAAAATGTCAATGTAGTTTTTATTATATTTTATACTTTAACTGTCTATAAAAAATGAGAAGAAAATATAAGCGAACCAACCCTACATAACTACATTACATGCATGTAATGTAGGTAATAAGATAACATATTGAATTATAATTTATAATTACAAATTAAAAGGGCAGTATCCTATATCTTTCTTGACTGTTATTTGTTTTTCACATGATCAGATATGCCTCGATCAGAGCAATCGAGACTAAAAATGTTGTTGGTGATGATCGACAATGGCTTACTTATTGGGTCTTGTACTCCATGATTACTCTCTTTGAGCTCACTTTTGACAAGCTTATTGAATGGTAATTATCTCTAAATTAGGTCAATTACTCATTAATTTATATGATAAGTAGCAAGGTTTATTAATTTGGATTGTATTTTATTGTTAATTAATATATGGTGAATTGAGTGGAATTAATTTAAATAATAATCATGGCAGGATCCCGTTTTGGTCATATGTTAAGCTGATTGTGACATGTTGGTTAGTGATACCTCAATTTTGTGGTGCTGCATACGTATACGAGCACTACGTTCGACCTTTCTATACTGGAAACCAAACCGTCAACGTCTGGTATGTCCCACGGAAAAAAGACGCTTTTACCCCTCATCAGGATGAAGCCCTAGTTTCTAGACACAAGTACATTCACGAATACACCACCCCAGATGCTTTTCAATTTCAGGAATACATTCAACCTGCTGTACGTATCTTTCAATTCTCACTTACAAATAATATACATACATAGTTTTGCTTTTGAACATATCATATATGTTGACATGCATAATTACGTCTTTAATTTGCAGTCTGATGAAATCAAGTATTATGGAGGTGGCGGTTTCTTCCCTGAATATGACTATGTATACGACTGAGGTGGTTTCTTGCTGTTTGCTCGATCGATATCAGAAACTTGCTGGTCAACGTTGACCAATGTGTATATATATATATATATATATATATATATATATATATATATATAGTATCGCAAAGTTGTTTTTGTTATGTAACATGTACCATGTAATAATGTGTAATTAATTTCAGTTCTTCACGTTACGATCTGGGTGAAAAAGGAAAGCAAAATAACATATATAGAGTTTCAGCTGCTCCATATTATTATTAGTAAAAGTTTTAGAAGTTACCTTATAATTGGTTGTTATTATTCATGTCCACGAGATGATGATATTGATCTAATTGTTGGTTTTGGTATGAAGTTCTTAGTTGTTACTTGTTAGAATTTGCATTTTGTTCTTTTACAAAAAAATGAATGTCTCAACAATCTACATTATCGATCCTCCATGTGGCTGACTGGCTGTATAATGTAAGACCCGTTTATTTTTATTTATTTATTTATTTTTTTGTATACTAGGTAAACTGAAGGTAGGGGTATTGACATCTTTTTATCAAAAAATTTCACAAAAGGAATTCAGAGATGAAGAGGACAACGTTGGTTACAATAGAAAGAAAAGAATGACACGCCTAAGGAGAATTGACTTGTTATGTTTTGGAAATAAGAGTTAAGAGTAGTGTTAGTTTTTTCATTTTATATCAAACCTTTTAAATATAAAAAAAAATCTATTATTCTATAATTATTAAAAACATAAATGGTCTAGTGTTGATTTTTTGGTAATTTTACGAGGGAAGTTAACGACCGGTGTTCTCTCACCGTATCCTCGATTGAATTTCTTTTTGTTGATCGATCATCGGATTTGATTTGTGCACAGAAATGTCGACAGATTTACAGTGCTTCATAGCTTTTACGAACATTCTGGTGCTTCAGATCGTCAAGATATAGCGATTTGCGGACGAAACATTTCAATATCTGAACCGAAGGTGACCACCGCTGAATTTCTTTTTATATTATGTTTTATATGTTATCTAATGATTTCTTAAAGTGGTTAGTTGTGCATTTACGATTATATGTTTGGAATTCGAAAATACCGATGCTAATTGTTTCACATTGTACTGGAAACCTGGAATTTGTTTCCGGTTTTCGTCGAGTTAGGTTTTGTTTTGTTAAGCATGCTGCTTTTGCTTAGGCTAATGGCTACTATGTGAGTGTTGGTTGAATCTTATTTATGCTCTCAAGCGTCTAACTTAGGGTTATGATTTGTATTATCGATCTTCAACGTCCTGCTGATCATTCTCTTGAGTTGATTCTCATCGGAAAATTACTGATGTTTTTTTTGTTGTTTTGAACAGGTTTTAGATGTTGGAACGGAAGTGTGGATGAATGACTGACCTACAGAAGATTAGCCTTGAGGAGCAGAATGTCGAGGAGGTATTTGTCATTGCCACTTCCTTAACTTTGGTGAATTAGGTTAATAACACACACACACACACACATTTCCTCCTGTGTTGATTTTGTATCTTCTTCCATTTTAGGCCTGTTCAATATTTGGTAGAAGATGTTAGGTTGAAACGATGCATGTTTGGTTTGGATTTCAATGACAATACTTTCAATGGAACATACATAAAGCCTTTAGGTTTTTTAAACTTTGAAAGCCTTTTACTAACCTACCATGGATTCATGCTCTAATTGTGTTGCAATAATTTCAGGCTATCGCTTCTTTGAAGAACTGGTCATATTTACTGAGATATGGGCGCATGGGGAAGCCAAGGTTCTGCCCCTTTCGAATTTCTGATGTAAGTCATCAATCTGATGTATCATAAACATGAATAGGCTTTCTAATACAACTGTTTTGCATTATGAATGGTTGATTATGTTTTTGTACACCTTTCTATGTTACCTATCTTGTGATTTTGAGCTCTGTATTTTACTTTGATACTTAGGGCTCATTTTAAATATGCTTATTTTCTACTACTAAGTAGCTTATAAGATCTTATTATCCAGGATGAAACAACCCTAATGTGGTGTATTAAAAGGGAGGAGAAACAGCTTCCATTGAGTCAGGTTTACAAGTTTATGCCTGGACAACAAACGGTAAACTTATACTCATTTCATCTCCATGTTAATACAACACCTGAAAATAAACACACTATGAAAAGTTTTAACTTACTTTTAGAAGTTAAAAACATTCATGATGTTTCCTTTTCCTGATATAATAGGCAGCATTCCAAAGGTACCCTCAACCTGAGAAGGAAAATCAATCATTTTCCCTTCTGTATAACAACTACTCCCTGGATGTGGTAGGTAACTTAACTTCTTGATCTTATTCAGTAGAACCATTCTTATTTCACTAAGTATTTGAACACTATGGACAGATATGCAAAGATAAAGGTGAAGCTGAAACTTGGCTTATTGCCCTTCAAACCCTAATTTCAAGAAATAGTGACCAGATATCGAAAAATACAGTTAAAGCTGATAGTATATCTTCAGATGGATCAACCTCCCTTTCACAAAGGAATAGCAGCAGCGACATATTTGAGGTCTCAACTTATTTGTTATAAAACACAATCTAAATCTGGTACTAAATCTAGTTTTCTTTGGGCAAATGTTAGAAAAACACAACCTGTTATATATTGATAACTGGGTATTACTATAAAACTCCCCCATGTGGTTTTTACCATATAATAGTCTGTGTTTTTGTGACATCTGTTCTTTTCTATTTTACAAAATGACAGGATTCAGGGAGAAATGAAACTTTTACGTTTCCGATCAACAGAGCATTCTCAGATGCAATACTGTGTACTGAATCCGTAAAACCTTTCCCACAAAAACAAAATATTCCCAAATCATACACCTCACAATCTTCCATGATTCACGGACCACGTCTTGATGACGTGGAATCTCTACACGATGTTTTCATTTGGGGTGAAGGAACAGGGGATGGATTGTTAGGTGGTGGCATGAACGGAATCGGAATGTCCAATTCCACCAAAATGGATTCACTTTTACCAAAAGCTTTAAAGCGAAGTGTCGCTTTTGATGCCCGAAAAGTTTCATGTGGAAGTAAACAAGCGGTGTTAGTCACCAAACAAGGGGAAGTTTACAGTTGGGGAGAGGGTTCCGGTGGTCGACTCGGGCACGGAATGGAATCTGATATTCCAACCCCAAAGCTCATCGATGACCTCAGCAGATCAAACGTCGAAATGGTAGCCTGTGGTGAAAATCACACTTGTGCTTTGACACAATCCGGTGATCTTTACACGTGGGGTGAAATCGGTGATGAGGCCGGAATCGGAATCGGAATCAGTCATTGGATTCCAAGAAAAGTAGGAGGTCAGATCGAGAGTATGAATGTAAAATTTATCTCTTGTGGACCATGGCATTCTGCAGCTGTTACATCAGAAGGTCTTTTATTCACATTTGGTGATGGAAGTTTCGGTGCGTTAGGAAACGGGGATAACACTAGCATATATTATCCTAAACCTGTTGAATCTCTAAAAGGACTAAAAACCATTAGAGTCTCATGTGGTGTTTGGCATACAGCCGCCATTGTAGAAGTTGACAGCTCATCTTCTAGAAAACTTTTCACATGGGGAAACGGGGATAACGGTCAACTCGGTCACGAAGACCGGGACCCACGGTTTCTCCCCTCGCGTGTAGTTTTGCTGGACAATAAAAACTTTTGTCAAGTCGCATGTGGTCATAGTATGACCATAGCTTTGACCAACTCAGGACACGTGTACACAATGGGGACACACGGTATTCATCCGGTCAAAGGTAAACTTACAGACAACTACGTACAGGAAATCTCATGTGGGTCCCACCATATTGCGATTTTAACTTCAAAATCCGAGGTTTACACGTGGGGGAAGGGAACAAAAGGGCAGTTAGGGCATGGGGACAATAAAGATAGGGAGACGCCTACTTTAGTAGAAGCTTTGAGTGAAAGGAGAGTGAAAAGTGTGGTATGTGGATCGAATGTGACAGTTGCGATTTGTTTACGTAAAGAAGTGCGTACTTCTGAACTTCTGATGTGTTCAGCTTGTAATGCGGTGTTTAATTTTAAAAGAAAGCCACACAATTGTTATAATTGTGGGCTTGTGTTTTGTAAAGCGTGTAGTAGTAAAAAATCGTTAAGGGCATCGTTAGCTCCAAATGCGGATAAGTATTATCGTGTGTGTGAAGATTGTTATAGTTGTCTTCATAAAGAGGAAACAAATGGGAAAACGACATCAAGTTATCTACCTCCCAAAAGTAGGAATAGTAATAATGAACATAATCACAAGCTTTGGGATCTTAAATCACAAGGCTTACTTTCACGGATTTCGGCTTTTGATTCATTTAGACGCGTTGGTAGCCAGTTAGTGAAACCAGAAAGCTCACAGGAGTCGAGTAATAATTATGTGGTTTCTCCATTAAATTCATCTCCATCTTTATTTGAAAACCCAACGTTTGGTTCTCAATCTCAAGCAGCATCTCCTGTTTCTGTGAGATCAAGTTTTAGTTACTCCAATTCGATTTCTTCTGCTATTGCTTCTCTTGCGTTTCCTGAAACAAAAGGAGATGATTCCAAGAGAAAGGAGGAGAATCTTATGAAAGAAATATCGATACTGAGAGAACAGGTGGAGTATCTAACACAAAAGGCTCAGATTGTGGAAGCTGATCTCAAAAAAACATCAATACAATTGAAAGAAGCGACTAAACAAGTTAAAGATGAAGAAGAGAAAAACAAAGCTGCAAATGTAGAAATAACATCTCTCACCACACAGGTTAGTCTTTACTCTTTAGTGAATTATTGATTCAAATATGTTGTTGACTGAGTAGTGAAATCCTATGACAGGTGGAGAATTTGACCACAAGGATAGGTCAGGGATGTTGTTGGAGATGCAGAGTGTCAGGTTCATATGCTGGAAAACCTTGTATCCAAAGGCAATTGAGCCTTTAAGGTATTTGCATACCTTTATTTTCAGTTCTGATTATCAACTAAGTGGTTAAAAGAGAAATATGTGTAGATTTCATTTCAATTGTATCAATTTAAATAAACAACATTGTACATTAGTCCCGCGTTAGGAAAATAATACATACAAATACAAGTTCCATGTTTTGTGGTGAAAAATGGCCAGGTCATGTGATAACTTAATTTTACAGTGTGAATGAAATGATACAACAGTTTGGTTTTCTTTTTCCAGCTGGTGATTATTTACTGATTGGCAGTGGCAGATAGGATTTGTTGAGCTTCGGCAAGTGCAGAGTCTTCATCTGCAGCATAGAGCACCTTTTTAACTGCCACAACCATCTGTTGCAGTAAAATCCATGAGAAAGTATCTGGAAAATATAATTTTAGATTAAAATTCAGAAAAATATTAAAGATCTAGAAAATGTTACCGGAATATTTTCCAATTCCGGTCCCTGACAAAGTATCTCAATATCCCGTAACTTTGCAAAGTAGTAATCCCGTTCTTTCTCCAAAAGATCCACAGATATCTTCAGCTCCGTAATCTGAAATCATATATATTATATCAATCAATACTTCAAATCTATGAGTCAAACACTTGGTCAATATGTGATCCTTACCTCATTGGACAAAGCCTTAATCTTCTCTGAAGAATCAGACTCCACTTCTACTACTGCACTTGGTTTTTGCTTACTCCCTGAACCAAAACAATCAACATTAGATTTTTTTATTTTATTGGGTTTGGGTTTTGCAAATGCCACATCAGCACTCATGACCTCACCATTTATCTTGTGGTCCCCTGATCCAGGATTCTGGGAGTTGTTTGTTTGTAAAGACTTGGAATTCTTCTGGGATTGGGATGCCATTGCTTTCACATGACGTTCTTTACATATCTTACTCCTACGTTCCAGAGGATTATAATTCCTGAAACAAGTATATACCAAACATACATATATATAACTAAAACCTCCAATACCAAAATAAATAATATAATAATCAATCTGGTTGAGGATCATAACATACTCATTCATGATGCCACCATTTACAGAGTCGCAATAGCGTTTCAACCACTGTAGAAACTCCAAGTTGTCCAATGGCCGACCCTTTACTAGTCTATTTACTTCAATATGCTGCAACAAATGGTAATATAATTGTAAACATACATGAAGAAGGAATTTATGATTGTTAATTTGTTTTTTTAATTCTAGTACTACCTACCTTATCGATTTTAAGTTTGTTAAATACATCTTGAAGTACTTTGTAGTTTTGGATCATATCATATTCTGTTCTTGCATCGAAGTTAACCTGTAGTTAAAAAAAAAAAAAAAAATCATGTCAACAATCTAGAGTCTAGGCTTATTATTAGTATAGGGATTGAAGAAGGAATTACAAGATGAATTGTGGT